TATATATATATATGTAAAATCTATGTGCAATTTGATTGCATGTGGCCTTACAGATGTCACACAGTCCGGAAAGACAGAGATAGACACATACACGGGTATAGATGTAGTAATATTCCTTTTGATTTTTGAAATAAAACTCACATAAAAAGAACATGCTTTCCTTTCCCTATATCAATAAGCCTCAAGCCAAGAAACTTTTTGTTTGTTTGTTATTTTCCAGAAGAATGAAGTAGACCTTTTTCAAAGAAAAGTTTCCATTTTATACTGAGAGGAAATAATGCAGACTTTATTTCAACACTGTGTTTGCTCAGGAGCCAGGAATGTATGTGATTAAAAAAAATCACAAGCAAAATCCACATATAATTGTCTCCCTCTTTCAGAATTGTTGACCAGAGGTATCCCATAGACATCCAATCAATCCTGGCTTTTGTCATTACCCTTTGTTACCCACCAGAACTGGACAGTAAGACCCTACTGCTGAAGACATTACATGTCTGAGTTACAGAATAAACAAGGAGAAATCACGCTAGTGACCTTGAAACTACATCTGTTCTGATTAGTTTTCTCAGTACTAGAAGGTACTATGTATGTTACTGACAGAAAAATGCAGTCATCAATCCTGCCCAACTGTGAACCCTGTGAGCTGCAGTGCAACTAGCTTGGCAAAATAGTCGTCCCAATGGGGTAATAGTGTCACAAATATTATGAGAAAAAAATCACATTCTAATTTAATTTAAGGCCAGCTTCACAACAAGGATTAGATACCTGACACTGTTATCATAGCAAGAACCTGTGCGTAGACAAATCATGGGAAATTGGAGAGAAGTTATTAATGTCATTTGCTAAACAAGCATAATACTAAACTGAATCTCAGTGACTTATATCCATAGACAAGTGATACCTCAACTCTCACTAGAGAAAGTTGTTGCTGCAGACAACAGTTAAAACAGAGATGCACAAATATTCAATGTGCACAAAGTAAGAGACTGTGGAGTACTCAGACCTAAATGTGACACAGCTATCACACTTCTCCAAATGCTCAGAGATCATTGTATAAGAGAGGAAGAAAGATTGCAAGAACCAGAGCTGGTGGATGAATGCAAGGAAACTGTGTCATCTGGACACCACAGGGTAGTTCTGCAAATGAATTCACATTGCTTAGGACACCAAGCACAAGAACTGTGAAAACCCAAGCCAAATTAGGTGAAGAATGAATGGGGGAGGTCAGCAGGATGTACAACCGTGACAGTCTATGAGTAACTAATGGATGCTGTGAGAGGGAGAGAGAGAGTCAGTTTTCCTTACTGTTTCGATCACTGGTACATTGATCAGACTTCAGGGCTTAGACTAACACTCAGAAATATTTGGGAGACATAGATTGGAATCAGTGACCCATTAAGAAACTAAATGTAGATACATAAGTAAATAAATAAATAAGTAAATGAATGAATAAATAAACAGATAATAATGTAGGACATGGAAGCAGGAGGAAGGGAGAGTAGTGAGAGGTTTGATATGGGAGGAGGTCTGAATGTAATCAAAATACATTCTCTGAAATACTGAAATCAGTAAAATTCATTAAAAATAAACATATAAAGGGATAAAATATTGACAATTAAATTTCAATTCATAATAAAATATTAACTTCCTGATATATTGTCATAAGTGAGGAATTTGAGAACATTGGACAGAGGAAAGACCTAATACTTGTTCAAATATCTATAAAAATAAAATTTATTCCAGTAAATTACAAACGTTCTTTACAGATTTGAAGTTAAAGATCTTCAAAAATAATCATTCTTTAAAGGACCCTAAATTATTTGTGATTTTGAAAATCATGTACTCCTGCAATTTCTGTAATATCTTATCTCTTAGAATTGAATTTGTAGGTAATAAAGCTATCAAATTAGGAAACAGATCTATGAAACATTCTCTGAAAAATAAGAAAAAAACTGAAAAAGAAATAAAGCAAACTCCTCCATGGATTTTCTTCCATAAAGGAGATATGCAAGAAAAGGCAGTGGGTTATTTCGTCCTTAGATAAGATATCAGAACGGGGTCTCAATCAGAAAGTATCAGTGATCCTCAGCCTGGAAGGACATAGAATCTAAGAGTTTTAATCCAAAAACAAACACAGAGTTACAGTGCATGGTGGAAAGAAAAGTTGCTACTTTTATAAGGAATGTGACTGAGAGTATGCTTACAGGAGGAAAAATAAGGAGATAGGCAAAAAAAATATAAGGAGAGAGGGAAAGACACAGGAAGCCAGTAGGGAAAGGGTTATGGGTAGTGTAATTGGTTTAATGAATTTGTGATTCTCTTCATGGTTTTCTTCACAGCAAGTTGAACATCCTTATTCCTGAGGCTATAGATGAGAGGATTCAACATGGGCACCAACGAAGTGTAAAACACTGAGAAAAATTTCCCCTGGCCCATAGTTTCAGCAGATGATGGCTTGACATAAGCAAGAAGCCCAGATCCAAAGAACAGACTGACAGTTATTATGTGAGACCCACAAGTGCTCATGGCTTTGGACAAACCCTTAGTTGATGACATCTGAATGATATTTAGAAGGATCATAGCATATGAGAGTAAGATAACGAGGCTACATGAAATGATAACTGTACCCACCACAGCAGTACTCAGGAGTTCATTGACATAGGTGCTACTACAGGAGAGTCGAAGGACAGGGAAGATATCACACATGTAGTGGTTGATGATGTTGGAATCACAAAAGTTGAGCCTCAACATAAAGACTGTGAGGATCATGGCATTCAAAAACCCTGTCAGGTATGAACCAGATATCATCAGACAGCAGATCCTAGGTAACATGACAGCGTTATACATCAGAGGCTTACAAATGGCCACATATCGATCATAGGCCATGACTGTCAGCACATTACTTTCAGAGTTGACAAAAAAGCAGAAGAAAAACAGCTGAGTCATGCAGCCTGTGAAGGAGACGGTGTTCTGCTCCAAAACAAAATTCATCATCATTTTGGGGGTAAAGACACAGGAATAACAGAAGTCAATGAAGGACAGATTGAAGAGGAAAAAGTACATGGGAGTGTGAAGGTGAGAGTTCAGAAATATGAGGCTCATTAAGCTCATGTTTCCCACCACTATGGCTGCATAGTTCACCAGAAACAACACAAACAGGGGCAGCTGGAGCTCAGGTTGGTCTGTTAGTCCCATCAGAATGAACTCAGACACTGAAGAGTCATTTTCCTTAACGATTTTCTTCATGAGTAGAATCTGTAAGAATAAGAACGGAAGGTGAGCACAATAAGAAATCCATCACAGACTCCAGGATAGTAGAAGTATTGGATTACGAACTTGCGTTGAGGGAACACACCCAAGGCAGGCAAAGAGCCCCAACTACTGATGTTGCTTCCTGAAGAATTCCCACTTTCTCTTCCTGATACCCATGAGCTGTGTATCTGCCCAGAAATTATCCAGCTGGACATCCCAGTTCCTTGAATATAATGTCATCTTTCACTAATCCACTAATAATTAAGCTGAGAAAACCAAGCTATAGGGCATTTTCTCAGAAACTCAAGATTTTTTTTCAATGTTTATCTTTAATGAATTTATATGCACTTCATATAATAGATCTTAATCATATTTAGACCCCTCAGAACCCAAGATTTTCAAAGTTTGGAGTTTGAAGAGAAATTTTAACAAGATGACATGGTGCTCACCTATGCTCACCTGGAGCCTCCTTTCCCTGCCTTTTGGTCCTTTCATCCCCGCTGTTCTGAGGGTCAAAGTTTCTATTAATAAAACAGATTATGGACTTCAGTACAGACACGCCTTTTACCTGCTAGAAAAGGTGCACAGGGAGAACTCGGTGTGATTTTTCTTTGAGAATTTCTCCACAAGGATCTTTTCATAAATACAAAATAAAATAATCATCTTATATGACTCTCAAAAGCATTACCTCACTCAAATCTCATCTCTTCAAGGACAAGATTTTTGAGAATATTCATTAGAACCCCACAAAATTATTCTCTTCTTTATGTTTTCCTCCCTGTAGGATGGGACCCTTGAGAGTACAAATTACTGAGCTTGTTCTTATATCCAGTGACATAAAATTACCATTGGATTGGATCTTTGAAGATTCAAAGTTTTATGCAACTTTTAATTTCCCAACAGGTGTTTCTAGTCTCAGTCATAGAATTGTGAATATCACTATTTTTTATTCTCCTCTATGCTTGACAAAGTTCTCTAAGAATGTTCAGTGACAGGCTCCTTTGCATTTTGTAGCTTTCCTATGTGCATCTCTGATCACTCTAATACACACCAACACAAAATTTTGGTATAATAAAATGTGTTCCATATAATGTGTCTGAACTGCACTAAATATATAGCAAGAGAATGATAAATATTACTTCCCCATATTGTTACACTTTTTAAACAAATAAGTTATATTTGTAATTGTGGCCCATATGAAAAAGTAAATTTACCTTGTGTTACTGCCATGTGACACTGCAAATAAATTGAATGCCTGACCCCTTCCTACCTTGCAAAACATTCTTCCCACCACAGTACGCACATCAACTGAAGTCAATAAATATTTCTCTAGACATTGCCTAATCTTCCATGTTTATGCATGGGAATAAGAAAATTGCACATTGGGGTGTGTTATTTTAACATGGAGACCTCTTGGTGCTAAAGAATATTGGGTGGGTAGAAAAAAAGGTCAATATTAGTAAGTATATTTAAAGATTAGACATTAGTAAATAAGATAATAATATATGCATTAATATATATGGGAAATAACACTGGTTATTACTTAAGGAACTGCCAAATTATCATTCGTCTATGTCATTTACATTAGAATTTATTAATAATTTGTAAACTTCCATCCTTTTCAGTATTTGACATTTTCACTTTTAATGAATATATATATATATACATATATATATATGGTATGTTTTTGGGTGTACTTTGCTGGGTTTTTTTTCTCTTTCTTGTAATCTTTGAGCATTTTATTCATGGTTATTTAAATTCCATAGTTCAACCCCAAATTTGGTTATTGTGTGAAATCTTTCTTGTCTTCTTCATTTGATAGAAATGCTCTTTTTAATAATATTTTTTAATATTTATATTGTTTTTCTGCATTTCATATAACAGATCTTATACAAATTTAGACCCCCTTCCTCATCCACATGCCCCATGGCCCCCACACACGAATTCTTGCATTCTGTCATATAAGTGAATTACTATCTGGTCAAGCATTTGGATAGAGATGTTCCTCAGCTCAAGTACATCCACTGGAGTCTAGTTAGCCTATCTAGAGCCACTCCCTTAAAGGAAATCTATGCCCCCTCACCCTGATTAATCAGTAGCCAATTCTCCCTCATCTAGGGTTGAGGTCTCCTGGCCATTTCCCCAATTCTATGCTAGGTTTTTGTCTTGATTGAGTGGGCTCAAAGTTTCCTCATTCGACACAGTGAGATACACACAGAAAGCTGCAACTGACCGAGGTTTAGAGAATAAGAGCCTGAAGAGTGCAAGTCCCTGGAGAGACCTACAGCTTTAAACCTCACCCTTCCATGGCTCAAGGACCATTGCAGAAGTGGAAGTAGAAAAATCATAAGAGCCAGGGTTGGTGCATGAACATAAGGAAACAGGCTTTCAGGCCTCTGGGAGCTTGCTCAAATGAACTTGCAGCAGTAATATTTTTTATTTTTTGAAGTTTTCATAGATTTATAAAATTTTTAGAGATCATATTAATGCAGCTTTCCACACTCCAACTGTATGGGACTAAATTCTATGAAGCAAACAGGATCACTGAGTAGTAATAAAGATGGCACAATTCTGGCTTCTTCTTGGTCTGAAACAAAGGTGTGGGCACTGCCCCTCTGACAAGCAGCATTCTCTAAGAAACTAGTCCAACACAGTTCAGATAAGACATAAGCCAGACCTGTCAACCCTCTCTTCTTTAAATTCATTAATTTAACTTGGAAGAGGGGAAGCCACTAAAATCCTCAAAACCCAGGTATTCCCCAGGGAAATTTTGGTTTTCCGTTTCCAAAATCTCCTCTCCAATTGTGGAGAGCTTTACTTTTCAGGGTTAGTATGTGTATTTTTCTAAGTAAAGCCTCTGTTATGTCTGAGATTTTTCCTTCATTTTAATTCTGTAATTGACTGAGAAAAAAACCAACTTAACCCTAGACTGATACTGCCAACCACAGCACAACCACCCCTAAAGACCCACACCCACTGGTTAGCTCTAAACTTCATTTTCTGTTTTCTTATTATTATTAATAACTTCTTGAGGTCAATTAGTCCTGCCTATGTGTGAATGGATATGTGGGCGTTAGCATGTTACATTTTCATGAACAAAAATCTAGACCCTCTAATCTACTCCTTTGATATATGTTGCTGTTTTATGCCCATATGATATTGGTTTTATTGGTATGGATCTGTAGTATAGTTTGAAATCAGTCACAGTGAGCATGCTCTTCAAGATTACTTTAACTTTCCTTAGTATTTTTGTGCCACCATACAGATTTTGAGATTGTTTTTTCTATGTCTGTGAAGAATGGTCTTGATGTTCTGCTTTGAATATATAGATTGTTAGAGTAGGATGGCCCTTTTCACTGTACTATTTCTTACAATCCATGAGCACGAGAAGTCCTTCTATCTAGTGTTTTCCTCAATTTTTTTCTTTAGTGTCACAAATTTTTGATTGATGAGATATTTTGCTTCTTTGAATTATGTTTATTCTCAGGTATTTTTATTTATTATCTATTGGCTACTGTGAGAGTTTTCCTTATATTTTTAATGTATTTTAATTGGTATTTGTATATTAATTTTGTGTCCTGATACATTGCTGAAAGTGTTTATCAGTTCTCAAAGTTTTTGTTGGAGTCTTAGGGTTCTCTTATATATAGAATCATTATTATCTTCAAATACATATACTTTGACTTCTTTCTTCCTTCTTTTGTCATTGCTGGAGCTAAGACTTCAAGCACTTCATTGAATTGGAGACAATGGAAATCTTTGTCATGCTCTAATTTTAGTGGGAATGCTATGAGTTTTCTCCATTTATCATGATAATGGTTATGTTTATCATATGTAGCCTTTATTGCTTTGATATATTCTCCCTTTATCCTTCATCTTTCTGAGACTTTTATCAGGAAGAGATGTTTTATTTTCCAGAGACCTTTGTTGCACCTATTGAGATGATCATATGGTTTATGTAATGGATAAAATTTGTTGATTTACATTTGTAGAACAATCACTGCATCTCTGGAATAAAGCCAACTTTGTTGGTGAACTTGAATATTTTCCTATATATAATATATTTGATTTTTTAAGAATTTATATTTTATATTTTGATCATATTTATCCCTCATACCCCTACTATTCACAGACCCCCTTTCTTTTCTACCTACCCAACTTTGTGTCCTTGTATGTTAAAGTCTATAGAGTCCAATTTGTCCTACCCATACACTCTTTTGTGTGTGGCCATTCATCGGACTTCTAAATGGGACATCGAAGTCACATCTTCTCCTACCAAGGCTCAGGAAACATTAGGGTAGTGGCAGGGAGTAAAGATTGTAAGAGCCAAAGCTAGGGAAGTGCTAAAATGAATGGAATTACTCCAGTGATTTTGAAACCAATTTTCCAGGGTTTTTTTTTTGAGAATTTTTTTCTCATATGCTCATCACAGAGACTGGTCTGTATTTTTCTTCCTGTGTCTTTATCAAATTTTGTTGTCAGAGTAATTCAAGATTTATAAAGAGTTTGGATGCCGTCATTCATTTTCTATTTCATTTAATAAATTGACTAGTATTGATGTTATTTCTTCTTTGAAGTTCTTCTAAAGGTCTGTAGAGAATTCCTATTGCCCTGGTCTTCCTTCCTTTCTATCTTTCTTTCTTTTCTTTCTCTCTCTCTCTTTCTTTCTCTTCCTTTCTTTTTATGTTAGGAGACTATTTTCTATTACCTCAATATGATTGCTGACTATATGCCTGTTTAATTCATTTCTTTCTTCTTGGACTAATTTTTGTGTATTGCTCTATATAAATATTCATCCACTTTTTCTAGATATTTCTATATAGAGGAATAAGAGTTTTTAATGCATGTCTTTATAATTTTATGAATTTCATTGGTATATTTGCAATGTCTCCACATTCGTTTCTAACTTCATTAATTGGCATCGTCTCAATTTTTCTCTTGGCTTTTTAAATTGCCTAAGAATTTGTCTATCTTGCTTATCTTTTCAAAAGACCAACTTTTTGTTTCAT